CTTTTCACCGCTCTTTCACTTCAGGTCCGAAACGTGAGTTGTTGGTCAGCTTTTGCTACTGATGCCGGGCAATGGGGAAAACCAAAAGCATGCCAAATACACAAATAATTTTCCCAAACACTTAGACAAATCCGGCCCAACTGGATAATTCGGTGCGTGCCATGCGTTTACCGAATGTTTGGCTATTTTAAAAAATCAGATAAACAGTTGGATCGTTTTAAGTGGTGTTTTATGAGAATACTAGCCCAGATGTATTATGCCTAGGCTTATGTAAGCGGCCCGGCCCTAATGCATACCAATTTGGATCGCAAGAAAAACTGGCAAACTTCGGTTTGGGCGAAGGCTGTTTTTACCCAGAAGTTAAACGCGCGCTGACTTGCGCATCCGTGGTAATAAATTTTTTTTCTGACTATGGATAACGTAGGTGGTGCGCCGAACTACCGGTTATTCAAATATGATACGAATCGGAAGCATGGCTGGAAAGCTCCGGAGTGATATGTCCGCAAAAGCGGCCGTGCCGTGGCCATTTTGAATCAGAGATATTATACCCCCTACCAAATTCAAAAGTGATTTTTTTAAAAACCGATTTTTGCCACCTTGAAGTGTGGATCGTAACCAATAAGGTACAACAGTTTCATTGGCTTCCAAGATTTCGGAGCCATTTTACAACCAAAAATATTTTGCCAGAACTTTTGGAACACCCTGTAGATGACATTTTGCCACCTCCCGAATCCCGATACCGTAGCAGCATTACACACACGGCCACCATCGAGTAGGCCATGATTGTTCCTAAAAACAGGGTCAAAACTAAGCCCATTTCTCCAAAGCTAAGCCCTAGCCAAGCTTGAGCCAGGTCCAAGCCTAAGCCAAGCCTAAGCCTCAGACAAACCAGCTTACCGAGTGATAGAAAATCCACCAACGTCTCTACGTTAAAAAGCGCCGCCATGACGGCTGTGATTAAACCGAAGACTATGATCGCATTCACGGGGACCTAAATTTTGTTTTTTTTCAGCGCTTAAAAGGCATTACTATCTAACTTTTAATACGTTTCAATGTTTGACCCGAAGCTTACCTTTGTCCTCCCATTCACTTTACCCAAAAAGCTAAACAGCAACCCGTCCTGAGCCATGGCATACACGCATCGGGGCAGGGCGAAGAGAGATCCGAACTAGAATTCAAGTACTAATTTTCATCTCTCATCTCTCTCATCTCTCGAGGGTTTTTAGTGTTCATTCTCTTACCATGCTTCCCATCATTCCGGAAATCGCCCCAATAGTCACCGCTACCACGGCTACTGTAGAGCCCTTTTGCTTGAAGGCGACGACGAAGGCGGCGTCGGGATCTACCTAAAAGTCGTAAGAACTATAGGCAAGTACGTTAATCAAGTATTAAAGAATTAAACTAGACGAAAGTAAAAGTATAAGTCATTATTCCAGAAGATGAAGTTAAAAAGGTCACCGGCGTGACGTCTAATTACGGACGTTTGCGGGATGTCGGTATGTAAAGTAATTGTTTGGATTGATTCTTATTCTGATTACGGTAGTACGAAGGCTACCTGACAACGCTCGACACTTATCCCGAGTGCTTACCTCGGTATACGGTACCATCAACGACAGAGAGCCGGACACCAGAATATAGGCTAGGGTGACAGTGGCCATGCAGTAAAAAGTAGCTCGCGGTAGGGAACGAATTGGATCTGAAATTTGATAGAATTCATATTACTTTCTTTAATTACAATCATATATAAATTTACGTCCGCCCCGAGCCTCACTTTTAGCCTCCTCCCCCGCCGTCGCCAAGCCATCAAAGCCGATGAAACTGAAGAAGCACGCCGACGCCCCGGCCAGGGTGCCCGTAATTCCGTAGGGGAAGAATTTGGATGAGCCATCTGGGGTGGTGCCTAAATCGTCGAATTTGCACGAAAGGGCCAGAAAATCGAGAAATGTAGGACTATCTAGAAAATTCAGAACTTCCTACCCATCCAATTGCCCAAATCAGCATAATAGAAGCCAATTCCGGCGACGATGGCTAACATCTAATTTCCCAAACGTTTAAAATGACTGTAATTTGCATACGGCAATATTGATGACCGTGTTGAAGCTGTTGAAAGTGGTCGACCCCTTGGCGCCGACCATCATCAGGATCTAGACTTGATGTCCGATGTTTTTCCGGACTAAAGAGACTGAGAAGTGCTAGAATCGACCCCTTCCAGTGTTCGGGTGTCGACAGCTACGCTACGCTTCACTTAACGCAAAAATGCAGAAGCCTGGACGCTTAGCCTACTTCAAAATCATGCCTCATTTGGTCTAGTATTTGGCTCTGTCGAGAGCTAGTTGTAAAGGGTGAATTCTGGCGCGCCTAGTCCCTCTAAACCGATGAAATTACTTACACACATGCCAAGCGCGATCAAAAATGCGAACACATCGATGTAATCAGCAAAGAGGCTATACTAAAAAACGAGGTAGTTTTGTGAAAACGTTTTTGTTTACATCTATCGATCCGAGATACTCCATTGTCGTCTTCTTGATCCAACCCTCGAATAGGACGTTCAGATACCCGGAAAGCGCTCTAGCAACGACTAAAATGTGATTAAAGGGAGCAGGACTTGTAGAACCGATCCATTTGCCGACTAACTGGCGATAGTTATTTAATATTCTGATACATCGGCCGATCTGCCGGCGTATACCCTGAGATCCTTAGCGAGACAAAATAGCATTGGTCAAAAGCAAGGCTTCTAAGATCATTTAGAAAGTACAAAAATGCATTTTGGAAGAGCTGGTGGTTGCCGAGACCTAGCTGACATAGAGGGACGAAACTCAACTTTGGTTTGCTTGCTGTCACCATCCCTTTAAAAGTCGATACCTACCCGCTGCCGAGAGCATGTTTTCCAGAATCACGTTCCATCCAATGACAAATGCCCAAACCTCCCCACATCCAATGTACGCATAAGAGTATGCACTTCCGGCTTTAGGAAATCTTAATAAGAGGTTGGTGACGGTGTTTTACCCTCACCTAGACCCAAATTCAGCATAACAAAGTGCCGATAGAAAAGCAGCGATCCCGGCTAATAAAAATGACAATGGGACTGATGGGCCGGCAATATTGCGAATGACGGTACCTGAACGGCTTGGGTCAGGCATAGGCATGAGCCTGGATATAGGCTTAGGCGTGGGAAGCCCCACGAACCAGTAAGCACATAAATTCCGGCTCCCATCGTTTGTCCGACGCCAATCATCGTAATATCGAACGTGGAGAGGCATCTAAAAGATTTTTTTTGCCTTACTCTCGCTATCATGCTATATCTCTCTCTCGCTTCCACTCTCTCACTCACTTTCGCTCTAAGTTAGTCTTTGTAAAAAAACAAGAGAAGAAAAATCACTTAAAATTATAAAAATTACTCACCTTTTCAATGAAGTATCGAGCGGGTTGGCTTCAAATTTTTTCCGGCGTAGGATGCGTGCCAAAAATGCGGTCATCCCGAAAAAGGGCAGAACCAGGGAAAGGGTTAGGACAGCGAGGTCTAGACATCGTTTCCGGATCGCTCGCGTTTCTTCATGATCGATAATTTGCACACCCCCCAGCTGCCCGCGCGCATTTTGGCTTTCTGAAAATGGGTGAAAAGCGCAGGGCGGGCTGATTAATCGGGAAATGTACGGGTTGGAAAGGTCGCGACGGAGATAGTTTTCTTGCTGATCGGCGCGCCTAAGGGGCCGTTTATGGACTGGAAACGCATTATTTAGGTAAAGGAAAAGTTCAAATACCAATATACCCAATCGTGAGAACACAAATACCGACATGAAAAATACGCAGCACGAAGATACCGACATGAAAACCCTAGCAACCGAAATACCGACATTCCAAATGCGTGGCACGAAAATACGGACATTCCAATTGCCGAGGTCCAAAAACCTTGCAGTTTTGGGTATCGAAATCTGGACTTGGGTATTTATTTCTGATGTCGGTATTTTCCCTGCCGACGAATGTTTGTATCTTGGCTGCTATGTATATTTATTTCTGTATTCAATTTGACGACAAAGAAATGTCGTCGAATCCATCGTTGACTTTTGCTTTCAATGCTTTTTGCCTGGCCGTCTCCTCCAGCTCGTCGGCTACGATTTTTAGGTCTCTAAATGGAGAAATGTGAGCTCGACAACCTTGATCACCTCACTATCGTTGCCGACCCTAGGCCATAGAATAGGATACTGGCCGCGCAGACGGCATTCGGGAATAGGAGAGCGATGAAGAGAGAGTGGAACTTGCCTAAAACCGAATTTTTGTCAGAAATTGAGCCTACCGCTTGGTGAGGCGTCATCACCGCGGATGAGATCGGAAATCTGGAATATCGAAAGTTTGCTGCTGCTAATAAAGAAAGAAAAGTAATGTGTGAGGTAAAAAGATGAAAGGAAACTCCACACCACACTGCGAGCCGTGGGAGTGTTAACAAGCCGAAGCCTGCGTTACCCCGAAGGGTGTGAACTGCGAAGCATTACGCTACCTTGATATCAGATTTTGTTGCGACAGAGGACAGGAGAGAGAGAGGGGCGAGAGAGAGAGAGAGAGAGAGAGAGAGAGACGAGAGAGGGGGAGGAGAGGAGAGTGAGAGGGTGCGAGAGAGAAAAGAGAGATATGGAGCGAGACAAAGAGCGAGAGGCATAGAGAGTGCGGGAGTGAAGGAGAGGAAGAAGAGAAAGATAGAGGGAGAGGCAGAGCGAGAGAGAGATTGAGAGAGCAAAAGGGGGAGAGCGTGAGCGAGTGAGTAAGTACCCTACCAGGCGAACGATCAAGGCCCGGGCATCACCCAACAAATGCGCAAACATGATTTGCCAAGCCGAAGCCACACTTCTTCGCTGTGGTGAAACGACTCTCTAAAAATTTAGAACTCTAGGATCTGTTTAATTTCCCAAAAAAAACGCGGATACAATTTTAAGATTCTCAAACATAAAATT